AAGCTAACACTTGTTATACTGTTTAAACTAAAGCTAACACTTGTTATACTGTTTAAACTAAAGCTAACACTTGTTATACTGTTTAAACTAAAGCTAACACTTGTTATACTGTTTAAACTAAGCTAACACTTGTTATACTTTTTAAACTAAAGCTAACACTTGTTATACTTTTAAACTAAAGCTAACACTTGTTATACTTTTTAAACTAAAGCTAACACTTGTTATACTGTTTAAACTAAAGCTAACACTTGTTATACTTTTTAAACTAAGCTAACACTTGTTATACTTTTTAAACTAAAGCTAACACTTGTTATACTGTTTAAACTAAAGCTAACACTTGTTATACTTTTTAAACTAAAGCTAACACTTGTTATACTGTTTAAACTAAAGCTAACACTTGTTATACTGTTTAAACTAAAGCTAACACTTGTTATACTTTTAAACTAAAGCTAACACTTGTTATAAACTTCTGCTAGCACTCCTGCTAACAACACTTCTCACTTCTGAGATTACTGCCAAAGCTTTTCCCACCGTTTTGCTAACGATAGAACTTTAATCTAAGTGCTACTCTAAATACCACTTGTAAGCTAGGCTACTAACTGCTAAGGCCAACAACCACAATAATATTATTCTGTCCACTGCTACAATAAAAACAAACTATGCTAAAACAACCAATGCTTCCTCCATTTTCAATATTTAATGACATGATATAATTTAATGAATGTTGAAGTCATGTTGGTTGATGTCAGTGTCTGTCTGTCTGTGTCTGTCTGCCTCTCTGTCTCTCTGCCTGTCTGTCTTTCTGCCTGCCTGTCTCTCTGTCTCTCTGCCTGTCTGTCTTTCTGCCTGCCTGTCTCTCTGTCTCTCTGCCTGTCTCTCTGCCTGTCTGTCTTTCTGCCTGCCTGTCTCTCTGTCTCTCTGCCTGTCTCTCTGCCTCTCTGTCTCTCTGCCTGTCTGTCTGCCTGCCTGTCTCTCTGTCTCTCTGCCTGTCTGTCTTTCTGCCTGCCTGTCTCTCTGTCTCTCTGCCTGTCTCTCTGCCTGTCTGTCTTTCTGCCTGCCTGTCTCTCTGTCTCTCTGTCTCTCTGCCTGTCTCTCTGTCTCTCTGCCTGTCTGTCTGTCTGCCTGTCTGTCTCTCTGCCTGTCTCTCTGTCTCTCTGCCTGTCTGTCTGCCTGCCTGTCTGTCTCTCTGCCTGTCTCTCTGTCTCTCTGCCTGTCTCTCTGTCTCTCTGCCTGTCTGTCTGCCTGCCTGTCTGTCTCTCTGCCTGTCTCTCTGTCTCTCTGTCTCTCTCTGTCTCTCTGCCTGTCTGTCTGCCTGCCTGTCTGTCTCTCTGCCTGTCTCTCTGTCTCTCTGTCTCTCTGCCTGTCTGTCTGTCTGTCTCTCTGCCTGTCTCTCTGTCTCTCTGTCTCTCTCTGGCTCTCTGCCTGTCTGTCTGTCTGTCTGCCTGTCTGTCTCTCTGCCTGTCTCTCTGTCTCTCTGCCTGTCTCTCTGTCTGCCTGTCTGTCTCTCTGCCTGTCCTCTCTGTCTCTCTGCCTGTCTGTCTCTCTGCCTGTCTCTCTGTCTCTCTGTCTCTCTGCCTGTCTGTCTGCCTGTCTCTCTCTGTCTCTCTGCCTGTCTCTCTGTCTCTCTGTCTCTCTGCCTGTCTGTCTGCCTGCCTGTCTGTCTCTCTGCTGTCTCTCTGTCTCTTCTGTCTCTCTGTCTCTCTGCCTGTCTGTCTGCCTGCCTGTCTGTCTCTCTGCCTGTCTCTCTGTCTCTCTGTCTCTCTCTGTCTCTCTGCCTGTCTCTCTGCCTGTCTCTCTGTCTCTCTGCCTGTCTGTCTGCCTGCCTGTCTGTCTCTCTGCCTGTCTCTCTCTCTGTCTCTCTCTGTCTCTCTGCCTGTCTGTCTGCCTGCCTGTCTGTCTCTCTGCCTGTCTCTCTGTCTCTCTCTGTCTCTCTGCCTGTCTGTCTGCCTGCCTGTCTGTCTCTCTGCCTGTCTCTCTGTCTCTCTGTCTCTCTCTGTCTCTCTGCCTGTCTGTCTGCCTGCCTGTCTGTCTCTCTGCCTGTCTCTCTGTCTCTCTCTGTCTCTCTGCCTGTCTGTCTGCCTGCCTGTCTGTCTCTCTCCCTGTCTCTCTGTCTCTCTGTCTCTCTCGTCTCTCTGCCTTCTCTCTGCCTCCTGTCTGTCTCCTGCCTGTCTGTCTCTCTCCTGTCTCTCTGTCTCTCTCTGTCTCTCTGCCTGTCTGTCTGCCTGCCTGTCTGTCTCTCTGCCTGTCTCTCTGTCTCTCTCTGTCTCTCTGCCTGTCTGTCTGCCTGTCCTGTCTGTCTCTCTGCCTGTCTCTCTGTCTCTCTGTCTCTCTCTGTCTCTCTGCCTGTCTGTCTGTCTCTCTGTCTCTCTCTGTCTCTCTGCCTGTCTCTCTGTCTCTCTGTCTCTCTCTGTCTCTCTGCCTGTCTCTCTGTCTCTCTGTCTCTCTCTGTCTCTCTGCCTGTCTCTCTGTCTCTCTCTTCTCTCTGCCTGTCTGTCTGTCTCTCTCTGTCTCTCTGCCTGTCTCTCTGTCTCTGCTCTGTCTGTCTGCCTGCCTGTCTGTCTGTCTGTGTGGACTTTGTGCTCCTGCTGCTGTTTGTCAGATTTGTTCAGCTCTGCAGCACTTTGACCTCCAGGCTGCTCAAAGTCAAAGTGCTGCTTTTAGTCTTTGACTGAATAAAGAAACACGAAGGTGTTGAACAAAAGGGAAGATACAGTTATCATCAAGCTCTCCTGCACACCAGTGTCTAACATGCAAGAACTCATTTACTGTCGATAAATGACACGTTGTAACACGAAAAACTTCCTCTGCAGACTAAAGTAGGAATTTAAAATAAAAGAAGTAAAAAAAAAAGGAAGGCTACCAAAGCAGAGACAGTTTGAGAGCAGAGAGGGGAAAACAGGAAGTTCTTTTTCAAGCTCTAATCAGAACAGCAGTTAAACCTGTGAGTGAGGAAGCAGCCTACCTCAGCTGTGTTTCAGAGAAGAAGAAGGGAGGTGTCTGTCTGTCTGTCCGTCCGCCTGTCTGACTGACGAGGAAAGTGTCTGTCTGTCTCTGGCAGAGTTTTTATAGACGCTCCCTTTGAAAAGGGGGAGGAGGCTGGATGTAGAGGAAGGGAGCGTCTGCAAGTGACAGGAGCGTAAGAGACCTGGAAAACGTGACGCTGACATTAGGCTGAACCCTGTGGATCCATTACTGAGTCCAGAGACACATTTAAGAACACACCAATCCTGAGCTTACAGGTGTTCTACTCTTTATTGTGAGAACTCTGTTTCAAGTCCTAACATGTCCTGGAAAGATTTTAAAAACCTCCTTGAAACCTTGAATCAGTGATTAAATCTGTGTTATAAAACATGTACTTTCTGTGTTTAAAGACATGATTTATGTGTGAGCAGTGTGTTTGTCAGGATACCAGAATTTTAAACTTCAATATGATTTTAGTAAGCCCTGTGATTGGCTGACGAACAGTCAAGGGTGTAACCCCGCCTCTCGCCCAATGACAGTTGGGATTGACTGAAGCGACCCCGAACAGGAAAAGCTGTTTAGATAATGGACGGATGATTGTTGTAAAGATCAAACAATCGATACCTGGTTGATACCATGGCAACAAAAACAGAAGTCTATTGGGTAATTTCTTGTTTTTTTAATGACCAAAAAAGTGCAGACATCTCCTTCACGATGTCTAAATTGCACAAAAACATTGGCAACGTTTACCTCTACTGAAACCTTGCCAATGTTTTTGTACAATTTAGACATTGTGTTTGCAATTTTCGACAGATTCATTCCTCTCGCCGGAAAATGGCGTTCATCTGTGAAGATCATCCTGCTGAACAAAACGCCTACGCTTCAGAAACGTGTGTTTAACACAGAGATTATTTTCTGCAACTATCCAAAATCCAATGAAAACATCCCAGAGGAGAATTCTGGTTAGACCCCATGGAGATGCTACTTCCGGATTGGCCTACAAAAATATGTCATATGGTTTGTTCTCTATCCGGTACTGAGAAGTTGTCTCTGTGAAGGATTCATCTGGAAGCTCCTTCAAATGAAAGAAGACGTTGAGGAGGATATACGATGACTGTGCTTTTATACAGAAAAGCTTTTCAATAAAGAGAAGCATGTTGACGTATTGACACAGACATGTCCTCACTGCATTATGTTTAGTGTGTGTGTGTGTGTGTGTGTGTGTGTGGTGAGAACATGTCAGACGGTCCCTAACTCAGGAAGAGAAAGTCAAAGTTCATATAAAAGTGAAATGTGAGACGGGCTTAGCATTCACTGCAAAGGGCAGTAACCCTAACACAACACACACACACACACACACACACACACACACACACACACACACACACACACACACACACACACCTTACCCTTTACACTCACCTTTAACTGTACCACACACTGTACTCACACACACACACACACACAGCGGTCTGTCCAGCGCCCCCTTAGCCTTTCCTTCAGGTTAAATATAACCTCACATGACTGCAGGGCATTCAGCTCACATTACCCTCTTATCTGTCCTCTTATTGTAGCGCCCCCTGCAGTGCGCGCCCCGTACTAATACATGTGAAGACCTCACTCAGCTTCCTGTGAGTCTGCTTTTAATTTGAGTTCATTTTTAAAAAAAAAGTTTTACATGTTAATACCACATAATGTAATGTTTGAAGCCTGAGTGATGTCTCCCGTCTGTTCCTGCAGGGGGCGCTGGAGTCTCATCAAAGGCTGAGAGCTGGAGCTGAGACAGGTTTTAAACCTCCTGACAAACCGTTACAAAAGGACTTTTTGTAAAGTTCCTCGACATAACACTTGTTATGTTGGCGTTTTACAAATAAAGATTGATTCATTGATGGACTGACTCCCCGAAGTGAAGGATTTTGCACTTCCGCATTGGCTTCATTTTTCAAGAGCTTGTTTGGTTAATACTTGTTTTTCTGTACATTCCTCTCCACCAGGGTTCAAAACACACAGACCACAACACAAGGAGTTTTTTTCAAGAATAAACAATATGAATCTTTTTATTTTTGAGGTGTGTGATGTGTTTCCACAGACCTGTGATTAGACATGGACACATCTGCACTGTAAGTAAATGTAACACTGGATCCCTGCTTTAAACAGCAACAGCAAAGTAGCTCTTGAACTTTGAAAAATAAACTTTAGCAATTTTGATTCATTCCATAACTATGTGAAAACTATGTCTACGAGAAGAACAAAGACGTTTAGATCAGAGGACATTGTCTTGAGTTGATGTGAAGGGGACGGCAGCCATCTTTGTTGGTGGGTAAAGGAGGAGGCATCAGCTGTCTCATCTCTTCACATATTGCTGGCTCGCAGATAACTAACAATTTTGTACACGCGTTCATTCAGCGGACCACCACCGACATCTTTTTTGGCGAAAGCTATGACTAAAGCTGTGGAGACAGACGAAGACAAAGAGTCAAATTAGCATTCATGTGAAAAAGAAAAACACACATTTCTTTTGGTAAGAAGTGTTTCTTTGTTACTCTGCTACAGTGAAATGAGAGGTGCACTTTGGGCAGTATTTGCCCTGAATGACACCTTTCAGGATATCACTTTGTGTCTAACCTTGGTTGGTCTTTCCGACACAAACGTTGACGGAGGTTCCATCATCCGCTTGTGCGGTTTTGAAGGTACAACAGTAGATTTGGTCAGCATCCATCTGGTCTCTGAGAAACCGGCACTTCCTTCCCGCCAAAAAAGCTCCATTAATGGGGAAATCCTTTCGGTCATGCGCCATCTTCCTGATTTCCTCCTTCTGACAGAGAGACAGACAAGTTGTTGTGTTGGTCACTATCAGGGTGGTCACAATCAGTACATTTCAAATGAAATATGATTCAAGTTCAGAATCAAACAATAAGACTATGGGGCGCCGATTCTAAAGTTGTGCACACTACAAATAACAACAACATTTCTCCACATTTAGCCCTAAAAAAAAATCACTTTTTATTCACATTTAGAGAAATATTAGTGAACTTTGTCATATTTACTTTTGTGAATAAAAATGTAAGATAATTTCATTGGCAAATATAAATGTTAACTGTTATATATAAATGTTAAAAACACATGTCCTGATTCTAAATATTTAGCTACGTTTCTAAACATTTAGTTTACATTCTAAATATTTAGAAGTCGTTGCTAAATATTTAGTTTATATTCTATATATTTAGCTTTGATTATAAATATTTACAATCTTAGCTAAATATATAGGATCAAAGCTAAATATTTAGAATGTAAACTAAATGTTTAGAAACGTAGCTAAATATTTAGAATCAGGACATGTGTTTTTAACATTTATATATAAATTATCTTCCATTTTTATTCAGAAAAGTAAATATGACAAAGTTCACAAATATTTCTCTAAATGTGAATAAAAAGTGATTTTTTTTTAGGGCTAAATGTGGAGAAATGTTGTTGTTATTTGTAGTGTGTGCAACTTTACAATCGGCGCCCCATATAAGACACCTGTTTGATCCCCAGCACAAAACATTATCAAAACATTAGACAAAAACTGCTGCACAGTTTAAATTGAACACTCAGGTTGGCAACTTTTAGGAACTGAAACGATGTCGATGCATTTTAGCAATGTAGAAAAGTGAGTTTAGCCTCTCCCTACTTACCTGCCTTATGAAATGTCCTGTTTCCTGGTCATCTATTCATCCATCCATCCATCTTTTAACCCATCCATCCAATTACCCATTCATCCATCCATTCATCCATCCATTTATCCATCCATTCCATCCATTCATCCAACATCCAAAGCAGCTACTTTGGTAGAACCTAAACCAGTTCCAGTCCTGTGTCTGTTATGAGTTCTTCTCCAAGTACATGTGGGCTAACTGATAGCCTGTTAGCATCTGTTCACATCCTACGCGTGTTTATCAAACACAGAGCCTGGCTGAAGGGCACGTGGGCAGCTCATGCTTGGGAGAAGGCTCGGTGTAGTTTCAGCGCTGACTGTCCCCATGAATTCCATCCAACTGGTTTGTCTGGTTTTCACTGTGTGTTGTTAAAGTGTGTGTTTGCTGACTCACACAGGGACATGCAAACACAGGAACACCAGTGTGCTCATAACTGAGTCCTCCTGGAAGTCGTCTTTTTAAAGAGATATTTCATCGTAAAACAGCTGGAAGCTCCCAGAACTCACCGTGTCTTTGTTTTCTGGGAGACAAACCGAAACATTTAAAGAGGTCACAAACCTTTTAGAGAACGACCTATCAGTAGTGACATCTCCATGGTTACAGCTGTAAACAGTTTGAAGTGTGTCTTAGGGCGTTTTCACATTAGGCCGGTCTGCTTTCTGTAATAACGCTCTGACTCGTAGCACGCTTGCGTATGTACACAGTCCGAGGTGGCTACATTTGTTTGTGTCACATGTGGACAACATCCATCCTGCTAACTGTAACTTTTTGTTGTTTCTGAGACGCCAACGACGACCCTCTTCCTACCTCCACATCTGCCTGAGAGCTCAGAAGACGAAATGGACACGGGCGGTTTTTGAAGCAACAGTAGCGGTTAAGAGTTACGTCATACAGCGGCCCACTTCCTCGTTGGAGCACGGATTGAGCTCGAGTACAAATGAAGACCACCTCTTCAGGCGGACTCTGTGCACGAGTACGCTTTTGGGTTCACAGGGATCAGATAACTTTTTCATGACTTTGGGAAATAACACACTGATTATACTCAGTCGATGTTATCATTAATATTATAGTGTAATCCTAAATCCAGAAGTTTAAACTTAAATTTAATGCAAATAAAAATGATATCGATACCTGTTTGATAACATGACAACAAAACTACAAGTCCTTTACACCCAATACAAAGTCTTTTGTTTGAGACGTGAGGAGATGAAAGAAATTATCCAATATTGGTTTTCTACGACTTCTATTTTGTCGCCATGGTACCGAAACAGGTATTGATATTTATTTAATTTATATTAGGATCATGGGGAAGTTTACTTATCGGGTATCGTAAATATTTTGAATAACTTTAAAGACTACAGAGACCCCACAAAACTACAAACTGACTTTAAAGACTACAGAGAGACACAAAGAAACTACAAACTGACTTTAAAGACTACAGAGAGACACAAAGAAACTACAAACTGACTTTAAAGACTACAGAGAGACACAAAGAAACTACAAACTGACTTTAAAGACTACAGAGACCCACAAAACCTACAAACTGACTTTAAAGACTACAGAGAGACACAAAGAAACTACAAACTGACTTTAAAGACTACAGAGACCACAAAACTACAAACTGACTTTAAAGACTACAGAGACACAAAGAAACTACAAACTGACTTTAAAGACTACAGAGAGACACCAAGAAACTACAAACTGACTTTAAAGACTACAGAGAGACACAAAGAAACTACAAACTGACTTTAAAGACTACAGAGACACAAAGAAACTACAAACTGACTTTAAAGACTACAGAGAGACACAAAGAAACTACAAACTGACTTTAAAGACTACAGAGAGACACAAGAAACTACAAACTGACTTAAAGACTACAGAGAGACACCAAAGAAACTACAAACTGACTTTAAAGACTACAGAGACCCCACAAAACTACAAACTGACTTTAAAGACTACAGAGACACAAAGAAACTACAAACTGACTTTAAAGACTACAGAGACACCAAGAAACTACAAACTGACTTTAAAGACTACAGAGACACAAAGAAACTACAAACTGACTTTAAAGACTACAGAGACACAAGAAACTACAAACTGACTTTAAAGACTACAGAGACACAAAGAAACTGCAAACTGACTTTAAAGACTACAGAGACACCAAGAAACTACAAACTGACTTTAAAGACTACAGAGACACAAAGAAACTACAAACTGACTTTAAAGACTACAGAGGACACCAAGAAACTACAAACTGACTTTAAAGACTACAGAGAGACACAAAGAAACTACAAACTGACTTTAAAGACTACAGAGACACAAAGAAACTGCAAACTGACTTTAAAGACTACAGAGACACAAAGAAACTACAAACTGACTTTAAAGACTACAGAGACCCCACAGAAACTACAAACTGACTTTAAAGACTACAGCGACACAAAGAAACTACAAACTGACTTTAAAGACTACAGAGAGACACAAAGAAACTACAAACTGACTTTAAAGACTACAGAGACACAAAGAAACTACAAACTGACTTTAAAGACTACAGAGACACAAAGAAACTACAAACTGACTTTAAAGACTACAGAGAGACACAAAGAAACTACAAACTGACTTTAAAGACTACAGAGACACAAAGAAACTACAAACTGACTTTAAAGACTACAGAGACCCACAAAACTACAAACTGACTTTAAAGACTACAGAGAGACACAAAGAAACTACAAACTGACTTTAAAGACTACAGAGAGACACAAAGAAACTACAAACTGACTTTAAAGACTACAGAGAGACACAAGAAACTACAAACTGACTTTAAAGACTACAGAGACACAAAGAAACTACAAAC